AAGTCCGTTCTTTTATACAGTTTAAAAGAGTGCGACTTTTTATTTTTAAATTTTTTAAGCTCTTTAGCGAACCACTAAGCCTACTAAATATAAGCCTTTCCAGCCTGTACACGTATACATTTAAATTCGGTATATTCAATGACAGGAAGACTAACTTCCACGGATGGTATCGATGAATGCACCGCAAAAAGAACACCACCGCCGATTCTGACCACGCGGTCACTCCTGTATATTTGATATTCATTTGGAAGAATTTCGGAATTAAAAATGTGAGGTTTGAGCCATGTTTCGGTCAAGGATATAATATTATAATTGCAGTCAAAACCTTTTAAATATAAGTCAGTTAATTTGGTATTCAAACCTCTAACGTTTTGATAGTAAATACTTAAATTAGACTTGCGAGTTAGTTTTTTGAATCCGAATTAAGATTAGACATTTTAGCTACGGTATTATTACTTTTATTAGGTTTATACTCAAACTCGCGAACAAACGCCCCGGTCGGCCAAAATGAACTATTTAGTAGTGAATCAAAATCTTCGGAAGCTACATAAATTTTAAAAGATGAAATATCGCGATCGTATTTAAAATTAAATTTACGAATAAATACATCTTTAGTTCTAATTTTAGTCGATATGTATGACTTTATATCATCCGAAAAGTATCTTTAGCAAATCTAGAGACAAAGATTGATCTTCTCGGAGGAATTACAACCAACTTTTTGGTAATGATGTCTGATGTGCGGGGCTCCGAATTATTCGGAGGAACTAAGTTAGACAGTGGAGCTTGAGATGTTGATGGCAACACTGTTAAATCAACGGTTTGACTATTTTTAGAAGTAGACCTGTCTTTTTAGGTGGACTAATAACATGCCCACCTTTATTTTCTCTTCTATCCTCAGAGTGTGGAGGGTTGTCGAGACAAGTGAAAGACCTAAACATTTTTTCGTAATGCTTAAATTTCTCAACAAGCGCCGACAGATCCTTCCCGATCTCAGAAAAACCATTTCTGGACTGCCTGAAGAATTTAAATAAATCAACATCGGTTGATTTACATTTTTGACAAGACCAACGAAGACCCTTACCCTCGTTAATAGCGTCTACTACTCTACCGCTCAAACCAGCACATTTTATATGGGCAATCCCATCGCAGAGCCAGCATGACACATAGGAGTCGCTTTTAACGTGGCTATTGGTGTAAATACACGACATGTTTAAAATTATATTTATTTTTAGGTTTTAGAAGCAAAAAAGCAAAAACGGTTTTGAAAACGATGTATTGATCAGTGAACCAATCAGCTGGTAAATATCAGTTGGAAAGCTATGTAGCGAACAGTTTTAAATGCACTGTATATTTGACACCTAATAAACACAACGCAAACAGCTGTGACAAAGATGAAACAGCAGAAATGACAAAAAGACAAAAAGAGCAAAATCAATGTGCACAAACAAAAACAATTGTACAACAACAATATATTATATAAAACAAAATACTCGGCACATGCAATTAAGAATATCAAGTTAAATTAATCAAATTTACGGGAAATTTTGATGTTTTGCTTATCTTTAAATTGTGCACCAGAAGTTTATCAACACTTTTTTTAATTTTTTACTTTAATAAGCGTAAACAGCTTTATTAAACACAAAATTTGAACAGATCACAGAAAACACAGCTTCACAGCTTGACGTTTGCGTTATTCTTTTATTCAAAGAGACTATATAAAGAAATATACAAATAGTAATGATGTAATTGATATAATGCATATAAATTAATCTGCTAAAAATTATATTTGTTGCTTTTAAAAATTACATGTTAAATATCTTGAATTGAATTATATTTGGTTTTTACAAATTTCAATTTGTTAGTAATATTTTCTACTATTTTTTCCAATCAGTCTTGTTAATCATTATATTGGTTACATTTAAAAGTTACATCTTCAATATCGTAATTGAATTACATTTGGTTTTTTACAAATTTAAATTTTTTTAATGTTTTCTACTATTTTCTCCAATCAGTCTTGCTAATCATTATATTGGTTACATTGAAAAGTTAGATCTTGAGTGTCCTAATTTAATTACATTTGGTTTTTTAATTAAAATTTAATTTTAATGTTTTGTATTTTTTTCCAATCAGTCTTCTTAATCATAATATTGGTTACATTTAAGAAATATGTCTTCAGTATCGTAATTTAATTACATTTCGTTTTTTAAACATGTAAATTTTTGGAAATGTTTTCTACTATTTTCTCTTATGAGTCTTGTTAATCATTATAATGGTTACATTTAAAAAGTAGATCTTGAGCATCCTAATTTAATTACATTTGGTTTTTTAATTTAAATTTAATTTTACTGTTTTGTACTTTTTTGGGTGTTCTATAGATGAACGGTTAGTACACTAGACTTTTTCCACTTATTAAAACTTACATACAAAACACCAGCATATCGCACACCGTCTTCAAAAGAGTCACACCTCAAAATTTGTAATTTTTGAAATTATGCACAGAGCTCCTATTTAACTTTCAGCAAAAGCTGCAGAAATTTTTTTTTTATAATTTGTTAAAAAAACCTAAGGTAAAGTCACCCTTGTCCATGTGATGACCATGTGCTAAGAAATAGTTTTTCGCATTTTCTTACAATCGTATTATTTGAGTTGTGACTCTTTTGAACACGGTGTGCGATATTGTAAAGGTCTTGCGCTAAAAGTGGGCTGCGCTACGATGATGTTGAGCTTGCGGTAAGGAAAAAGTTGTATCTGCGATCAGATTAGAGTCCTGGAAGTATATAAAAATCGCTGCACCAGCGAATGTAGACGGACAGACAAATGATCCGGACCTGCACAAGAAAATATCTTTATTAATATTTGTACTTTCACTTTTATGGGGTGGTATACATACTTATAAATATGCAAAGGCTGCAATAGGGAGAATCCCTGCACCAGCGAATGTGGACGGACACACAGATGATCCGGACCTGCACAAGAAAATATTTTTATTAATATTTGCACTTTCACTTTTATGGTGTGGTATACTTACTTGTAAATATGCAAAACTTTACTTCTTCTAAAACTCTAGTTCTTTAATACGAATTTCGAATAACTCGGAGGCTCTGCAAAGAAATACATATGTAAATTATTGTTTTAATTCAAAATATTTCCATTATTTTAGATTTTTTTGGCATACTTGAATTTGCGCAATAAGAAAATGAATTTCCACAAAACAATCGATGAAAATATCGGCAGTGTTGCCTGTTGAACTTTTTATACGAACACAATATTTCTCCTTGTATTTTAGTAGTAGTTTCCATAAATCAAAAAAGGAAGCAACACAGGCTAAGGCAGAATGCGGGAGCGAGACAACTGCCAGGTTATCCAACCTTGTATTATTGAATCATGGATGAGAGTAAAGCAGCGAAAGTATTTATGTTGCGAACGGATGTCTTGTTAGGCCGTTCAAATGGTATTGCGCATATGTTTAGTACATACCTACATACGTGAAGTCATATAAAGATTGTTGTTAAGAGTAAGTTGAGAGATTCAAGGAGTAAGAAAGCATCTAAGCATGTTTCTTTATTATTCGACCAGATCTACGCTCAAGAAGTTTATTTTCCCTGTCGCACAGTGTAATTAATTGGGCAATTCACAAGGTGTCGTATTTGTCGTGTTTGTCGTGAAGTCATGATATTTCATGACAGTTGTAAAAATGTTGTTATTGTTTTGTGAAGAAAAATAACACATGACGATACAACTCTGCAACCTATGTTTATTCGGTGTTATGTGAGGTTAAGTGCTGAGATATAATAAATAATCGTAACAGGTGTTCACAACCGTCGTGTTTTAACACAACTTTTGTTAGGAAAATATAACTTCACAACACCTTGTGAATTGCCCAAATGTGTAAACCTTCCATCATTTAAAACTTATACATATGTATATACTTTACAATTTGTTGTTGCGTTGTTTTTAATTTAACTTTTTTACGGTTCCTTGCAGCTTCAAACTGGATGCCCTTAACATGCTGGTTCAAACGTATCAAAAACGGAATATTACTAAGAGCTGAAAATAATCCGTACTATCAATTTGACCGCTTTATGGAAAATGGAACGAGAAGTTATAAACCATATACAATGTATAAGGAAACTATGTTGCTAGTAAAAATTTTTATTATAAGTCAAAGAAATAATTTCAATAATACATTGATAACTCAGAACTAATGTGTGACGATTCATATACATACTTATGTACATCTAATTAAAAAAGTAATAAACAAAAGTTATGAAAAACGATTTGATAAATATTATAATATATTTAACGTTTTGATAAATTTGTTTGAAATTCATTTAATAGGTCAAAAGCTATGTTTCTGTGCGAAATACAAATTTCGAAAATTTCTTAATGAACCACTGTTGCGCTCTTGGCAACTTAATAATAGGTGTATTTAATACCTTTTAAACACACGATGCAGAGAGACATCTATCGTTCTTGGATTTAAATAAAAGAGATCAAGATTTTTATTTAAATAGATGCAAAATTTAAGTCTTTATTGGAATTCAAAGCAAAAGCGGACTGTAGTAAAAAGGTAATAAATGATGCAGTCTATGCTGATCAAGAGTTCGATTGCGAGTGCTCGAGCACTTCGCGTTTTAACAACTTTTAATATGTGTGTGTATATGTGTTCGTTTTAATGACTAGGTACATACAAGGATATGTTCGAAATTTAATGTATACATTTTTATATAATTCAACATTTTACGTGTAGGTACATATGTATATCTGTATATATATGTCTGTGTATATAAAACAAAATTGTAAAAAACGCCTTAGTCGTCCATGTCCTCAACACCGCGCCCCCCTGCATCGCTAGTGCTGGCAGCAGCTCCTTCAGCTGCTCGATCCGGCGACGTTTGATAGCGGAGCGACTCTGGAGGCTTCCTGCTGGTTTTCGGATTGTGCGGCGGCTGGCCGTGCATCCGTTTCGGATCACGTTTCTGCGTCTGTGCCTTGGCGAGCTCGAGGTCGTTCGGTGCAGCAACGTATGATGCGCCCTACCGCAATGGTGACAACTAGCCGAAAATAAACATTTAGTCTGTTCCAATAGCAGTCCGGTTTACAGGATTTAGTCAGAACTTACAGCAAGTCGTTCCTATTGACATAAAACCTGTAAGTGGGAACACATTTGAGAGAGTAACTGAGCAACTGTTCCTAGTCGGAAGTTACAGGATTTAGTCCGGAGATTTTTTTCCTGTAAGTTCATGAAAAGTGTCAAACGATCAGCTGATTTACATGTGCAAACAAAAACAGAAAGCGGTGAAAGCAAAGAACCTTATATTTGTTATAAAATGGAAGTAAACAACGAAATATTTAAATATGTATAGATTTTATTAATTATTTAGTGATATTTCAGCCAAATCAGTGTAGTGCCAATGACATGTAAACAAACCGTCTGACGTTTTTACAGGAAATAGTGCTTTTTGCGTTCCTATGCACTTCTGCATCTGTTCCCCTTTTACTCTCATTTGAGAGCGTAAAATTGTAGTTTGACAGTTCCACAGGTTTTAGTCCGAAGTTCAAAGGAACAGACTAATTACTTTTTTTCTGTAAAGACGGAAAAGATGAGAGTGAAAGTTTGGTGTAGTGTTTAACCAATGAGCGTGGTACCACCTGCGCATGACTGTACGTCGTATGGAGGGCTATGCATATTAGGGTATGAAGAAACGAGAATTTGGAATGGGTTTGTATGTCTGCCACGCGAACGTTTTGGTCAGGACCGAGATAGAGTGACAAGGGAGAAAGCGGCCGGGAGTTGAGTACCGCTTCAATTCGTATTAGGACTGTGGTAAATTCCTCGAACGTAAATTTGGGATTTCCCGCGACTTCGGTAAAGTGTGTATTAAAGCTTTTAACCGCAGATTCCCACAGACCTCCTCCGCCACAGCGTATGGCGGTATAAATTGCCTTGAAAAATGTGGACAGTTCTCAGTGGATTGACCCCTGGGCGCCTACAAAAGCTTTCCCGTTGTCCGACATAATTTAATGAGGAAGACCACGTCGGTCCACGAATCTGGCAAATCAGGCTTTGAAAGCTTCAGTTGTCAGGTCTGAGCAGAGTTCAAGATGGATGGCCTTTGTGGAGAAGCACGAACACACATATGTATGCTTAGTTATAATTACCAAGATTTTGTTATAGTGACCAAGTGTCATAGTTGGATATTGCGAACTAAATATTCACGAAAGCCTGCAATTTATTTGAGACTTCTAGTTGGGACAAATGTATATTTGTTAATAATTACAAAACGACTACCTTCATTGGACAATATTGTTAGTTAAATAAAATCCTTGTTGAGCAAATAGAAACCATGCTTTGGTTGATACAAGTTTTCAATTAATTTTGTGAAATTGCTGTAGACTTGAATCAGCTAACCGTTTATTATTGGAAAAAATTTCAGTTTGATACAAATAAAAATTTACTTGATGGTGGTTGTGTTTACTTTCTTCTTTTATTTGCATATATTAGCATAAAAAATACAAACATATTTACATAAATAGTTACTAGTGTAAATAATACATATGTATATGGAGGTAAGACCAAGTGGCATAATTGGATATGGCGAACTAAATATCTAGTTCACGAAAGTCTGCAATTTATTTGAGACTTCTAGTTGGGACACAAGTATATTTGTTAATAATTACAAAACGACTACCTTCATTGGACAATATTGTTAGTTAAATAAAATCATTGTTGAGCAAATAGAAACCATGCTTTGGTTGATACAAGTTTTCAATTAATTTTGTGAAATTGCTGTAGACTTGAATCAGCTAACCGTTTAGTATTGGAAAGAATTTCAGTTTGACACAAATAAAAATTTACTCGATGGTGGTTGTGTTTACTTTCTTCTTTTATTTGCATATATTAGCATAAAAAATACAAACATATTTACATAAATAGCTACTAGTGTAAATAATACATATGTATATTGTGGTAAGAATTTCCTAAAAAGAAACGATGAAACAGGAACAGTCGTGCGAAAACCCAGGTCAATATATGCTAGAAGTGCTGGTTTAAGTATACTGCTTTGCTTTTTACTTGGCTAAATAGACACTTTCATATTATAATTCTCATGAAATATATATATTATGTGTCCCGCGTACGAATACGTGAAGTTCAAAATCGTGGTAAGTGCCGATTTCAAAAACGGTAACTTTTTCGATTTTCAGGTAGGTTTTCGATAAGGTTCTAGATGAATGACTATATATATTTACATATATACAAGTCGATTGTATACATACTTATAAATATATGTGCAGTCCCGACTATAGGGTGGGGGTGTTTGCCCGGTCCCGGATTTTTCCTTATATTTAGTTAGAAGATAAACATGCTTATTACGGTATCCGACGGATGCCATCCCCACGGATCTTATCCGAATCGCACTGTCATAACAAGCGAGTGTGAAAGATTAGATTCATGCGAATGGCATCCGTAGTATACATGCGAATTCTGGTCCGAAGGATGGCATTCGCACGAACCTAATCCTTCACACTCCCTTGTTATGAAAGTGCAAATCAGATTAGATCCGTGCGGATGGCATCCGTCGGTTACCGTAATAGGCATGAAAAATTATAAAATTTTGTTACAGTTGATTATTTAATATTCACTTAGCTTTTATAATATCCAATAAATGCGAAATCGCATGGCTAGATACATATACAAGTGTGGTAGGGTCATTTCCGAGCTAGTCAAAACAACCGCCGATCTGGCATAATGTGAAACATAGAAAGGTTTCGAAGTCAACACATGTTATTTGCTCTCAAAACATTTTTGCCGGAGAGGGTGCTGAAGTACGGTTCACCTTTCATTTCGGCACATTATGGCTGAATTTCTTTATTCATTCTGAACGTTTGGAATAAACTTTTTTGTTTATTTATTCTTAAGAACGTTTATTCCGGCTGTGAAATGGGATTATCCGGAATGTATAAAGAAACGCAGCCTATATTTTGTTCTGAAGCAAACAACTGATGACATTGTTGCCTATATATGATTTTGAGGGCAAATAACGCATGGAATTCGCTGCAAACGCATATAAAGGAGAACGCGGCAACCCGAATCATCAAGTCGTTCGGACAGAAAATCAAAATCAATTTGATTCAAACAAAGAGTGTTCAGCACATTTTTGTCGCGCTCTCAGTGAGA